CACAATGAGAGGTATTTATTTGTTGGTGAGGGGGGTTGTAGCATCTATGGCCTTTGTGGGTAGAGACATACAGCAATAGCAACAAGCCTTTATCCCACTAAGTGGGGTCAGCTACATGAATCCTTTTTCTCCATTGCATCATATTGAGTATCATATTTTTATTTAAATCTAATAGATTAAGATCAGTTTCTATACAAATAATTTAAAAAATGAACAAAGGGAATTTTAAGTGCTAGTTTGTTGGAAAGTGGAGAAAGAGTCCATGGACATAGCTGGGTAAAACATAGTCTTTTTCATGTATCACTCCAGCTATTACAGTAAGTTGTATATGTTTGAGTCCATTAGAAGTACTAGTGTATGAATGGTTGTGATGCTCCAATGGTTTTAAGTGCAATTGTGCTGGTATGAGCTTTTGCGCTATTATTAAGTATATCTAGCAAAGCCAATGTGACCGTGCATAAAACTACACAAAACTTTCGGCAAAAACTGAAAAACTACAAGAGCATCTGCAAAGCAACATTACCGTAATTCTAGCCACCTTGCACATGCATCAAAGAATTCAAAAAGATACGCAAAAAAAGAAATTGATTTAAATAGTTAAATTGTTTCTGTTTTCCCCATATCAGAGTTCTTCATTAACGGTGGACACATAGAGTTATGAAAATAAGTACAAAAAAGTATTACTGCGCTTAAGAATAGTGAAACTGATGGCACATGCAGCTTGCCAGGAAGGATTTAAAAGCTTATTAGAACTAGTTAGGTATTAGGCTAATAAATAATGATGGATGTTGTACATACAATCGAGCCAAGAACAGGGTTATGTCATGTCAATGAAAGCATTTTTTAATGCTTATTATCAAATAGGAAAATAGATATACAAATTGAAAAAAACTCTCTATTTTCAGAAGACACGAACAATTCAACTCTTAAATGCAAATAAAAGATGATACCCGCAGAGTGCAAACCCCAGAAACCACAATATGGCTTCAAAAAATTCAGTATTATTTACCGAGGCATACTTGTGCCAGAGGTGACATTCGAGGGCTGATGCCTCCCTCACGCTCCAACTGAGCAATAGTGCATGCCATTCTAAGCTCTCTATTCAAGATATCCCAATTGGTAAGTAAAATAAATGAGATCAAACCAGAATCTGTACAAGCTCAACAAACACATAACTTCTCAATTCATAAAATCTACCAACTTCAAAGTTTCTCCACCAAGAATAGCTGCAAGAAATAGACCATCAGGCTTTAGCGCCAAACGACACTGAAAAAAATGGAAGCAAATTCAGTTTCAGTAGAATTTTAAATTAATGTTCCCAAAGAAGAGAAAAAGAAAAATTAACGGTGACTGGAAGGACCAACCTGTATCATGGCCCCTGGAAGATCATTTGTCCAATGAAGTCCGAGACAACTGACCACCAATTCTAAGGAGCTGCAAGCAAAAAAATGAATAGGAATATGAAATTTGTAGCAAACTATCTATAAAGACATAAAACTGTCATACTTCTCTTTAATGGGAAGGAACTCTTCATCTCCAACCACATATAATGTCTCAAAGTTATTCTCAGCATTATTTTGTTCTGTATCCTTTAAATACTTAATCATGTCAAAGGACATGTCCATCATGATCAGTTTTTCAATACCACCTGTAAACAAGTAGAAATTTCAGAATTGAATTCCCTATTCTAAGTTTCCTTCTTGTCAAACCTTCTACCAGGAATTATATAACCATAATAATGCATATTAATACAGGAATGCTTTGCATTGAAATAAGAAAAATTAGGTCACAAAGAAAAACTATTGCAGTGATTCAATTAATGAATAAGGCTGAACGACAATATGTTATTGTTATTGTATGAAAGTAGAGAAGTCCTATTTCAATCAGTAGTTGTTACTTGATATAAGTATGATTTGGGAAAGAAGTCTGGTGTTTGTGGAGCCGAAGCACCTAGGTTATTCTAAACCGAGAGAGGGGCGTTTTTGTGCCCCCTTTGGGCATCAAAGTGGGTGCAAACAGAGAAGGGGGGCCTTCCCGCCCACCTTGGACGCCCAAGCGCCCAATTATGTTGGCGCGATCTCTTCTTACCCGAGAGACGGGTGCTTTTGTGCCCAGTCCGGGTGCTTTTGCGCACAATTTTTTGATTCTAAGAACAAAATTTAGAGTGGCATAATGTGTACTGGGTGTAGGTCTTCCTGTGGTGGTCTTTAACAAGTTCCTGGTGAATGAGAGAAGAATTTATGGAATCCCAGTGTGTGTTTTTCGCGTCGAATCAGAGAAGAAAGATTGTGGAGCGTTTCTTGTAAGTTACTTTGTGTGTAGAGAAAAAACTGGTGTGAGTTCTTGTAAAAACTATTTGAATTTTTCATAGTGAATTTCTTGGTGGCGATGTGGCGATGTGGTTTTTTTCCTTTCATGGGTTTTTCCATGTGAAATTCTTGTGTGATTTTTTTATTGCTTTGATTGTGTTTTATGTTCAATTTTTTGTTCCGGTTTTCTCGAATTGATGTGATTCTCTTATTCCGCAGTGTGGTTCAGTCTCTAATCAATCGTAAGCCCGGTAAAGTTTGGGAATTGTTTGGTATATTTCCTATCAAGAAGGAGCAGCAAATTTAGAACAATGGAAGCTTCACAAATAATTAAAGAGCCTAGCAAAGAATTGTGAAAGCAACAAACTGTAACATTTTAGATACTAGAAATTAACCTAAATAGCACATAGAAAAGAACTCACCACGCCCTCGTATGAGGCGTCTGATGGCCTCTGAAGAACCCCCCAAGCATAGCGCAGTTGAAAATGTATTTTTACAATCCTGTCAAGTAAAATGGTGTCAAAAAACTCTCTCTGTGAAACTGGAATCTTTCAAAATTGCTCAGAAGGTGAAGATTAATTCACATGGTTGAATTATTTTTGACAAAACCAAAATGGGTTTCTCTTCAAGAACTTAGGGTCAGTCAGTAGAGATGCATGCATGCCAAAACCAAGTAAACTGTCCACAGTTTGCAGATGAACTGCATTGTATTCAAGAGAAGGAATGCACAACTATATCACAAAATGACTAATAAATGCTGTAATTTCTTCTCCCTTTGCAGATGAAGCGCCTACATTACTAAACTGCATACTCCAGTGGATTAAACACACTGATAAAAAAAAGTTGCATAATTTGAGTGAAATCAAATTACCTGCAGTCGATCAAGAAGGTTTTCAGCTACCGAGTCCACGAAATCGTTCCTTCCTCCCATCACCCACGCAGCTCTATCCCTCTGAAAATCCAAAGATCAAACCAATCAGACAAATAAAACAAAAGCAGAGAAATAGATAGAGAGATAGAGAGAACAGGCCTGTTTGCGCTTGAGATCACGATCAAAGATCTTGACCCGAGAGCTCAGAGCAGCTTCAGCGTCGGTGCAGAAGGGAGCCGAGCAAGCTGCGGCGCGGGGAAAAGCCCTACTAGCCGGAGCTGTTAGAGGTGAGATGAGGCGGTAGAGTTTCTCCCTCACCCATTCACCGGCAACCAATCTTCCCACACCCACTGCCATCTCTCTTCCATCCGATTACTGGTTCACGTCGGCCATGGGTTTAGGTTAGGAGCTCATTTTATTCTCAATAATTCTGAAATTAATAAGAAATAACTCAAAAATAAAAATCAGGAATTATTTCTGAATTATTTTATGATTATTAAAAATAACTCAAAAATAATTTAAAAATAACTCAACAATAAACTCCGCGACACGTAGAACTATATCAGAAGTCCGTACAAACAAATATGGCTACAGTTGTAAACGAAGAAAGAAAATTATATTAATATGTACTATTTTTTAAACTCAATATACTTAAAAGACTTATGAACTTTATTAAATGGATATGTGTACATATTTATATTCATAATACTATTTAATAATCATATATCCCAAAATAAATTATAATTAATATATTAATTAAATAAAATATAATAAAATAATTAATTAAAACTATATTAGTTCTTATAATGTCGGCTAAAATAATTAAAAACTTAAATAAAATCAATTGAAGAAAAATATTTTTCATGAACAAGATCATAAAGATGTTCTATTAATGCTCAAAACTAAATTAAAATTCAAGATAAATTATAATTAAAAATAAAATTTAATTTAATTAAAATGAGATTAAAAATAGAATTAAAATTAAAATAATTTTTATAATATTATAATATTAACATTAAATTAATTAAATTAGCTCTAAATTTTCAGAATTATAGTACTTTTATTTAATACAATATACTAAAAAAATAAAATAAAATAGAAAAACGCAAAAAGAGGTAGAGCTTGCTAGGTTTAATGCAGTTTTCATGGAATCCTTTTGTCCCACATTGGAAATAAAGAATAAAATTTAGCGTTAGAGATGTAAATACATAGGAATTGGGTGGTATTTATGTGTAATTGACTCTTAAAAATTGTTAACTTCAACATATTTAGAGCCAACTACACCTATGTTCACTCTCTTTACATGTTTTCTCTACCTCAACCCACTCAGCTCATGCTCTTTCATCCATGAAGCTACTTTATTTTATAAAAAAAAATGCACTTGCACGTCAAATGGCTCAAGAACGCATAAAATGCGTCTTGAATCTAGTCAGGTGGGTTGTCAAATTGAGTTTACGGATTAGATTTGACCCAACCCGAAACTATTTGATCTAAACCTGGCTCGAGTACTAAATGTTTCAACTCAAATGAGTCGAACTCAACCTACCTTAACCACTTTAGAGTTGGAGTTTTACCTAGAAATTTGAAATTTGAGTGAGAACTTGAGAATGAATGAAAGATGGAGCTAGATTTATAAATAGTAATGTTTTAGTGGCTATGGATGTAATTTCCCATAACAAGTTAGCCCCTAAAGCTAATTTGCATGGTGCTAGTTGTGTCACGCACTACTTGTTTCCTGTAAAATGATCTGCCATTTTCATGCTTCGTCTCCTATAAATATTTCCCAAACTGAAATCTTCTAACATAAAATTAACAAAACAAGTCTGAGCTTCTCTTCATCCATGGAAACTGCTCTCTTGACTGAAGAAAATGTGAAGAAAGGAGAGCCGGTTACACTGGTTTCTCCTGCAAATCCAACGCCCACACAAACAATATATCTCTCAAACATAGACCAGACTGTGGCATTTGAAGTAAAAACCATCTTCTTCTACGAGGTCCCTGAAGTTGCTGAAGCAACTGCATCTTGTATTACAGAGCTGGTGAAGCAAGCAGTATCTGATGTGCTTCTGATACCTTACTATTTCATGGCTGGGAGGCTCAGGTTCAACTTTGATGAAGCAAGGTTGGAACTGGTTTGCAACAATAAAGGTGTCCTTTTTGTGGGAGCCATCTCAAGCCTTAGCTTGAAGGAACTGGGAAACCCCTCATTTCCAAATCCTTCGTTTCAGCATCTTATAATTTCAACAGAGGGGTTTCATGATCTTGCTGATACTCCCATTTTCAGCATTCAGGTGATTTGCTTTCCAAAATCATCATCATCATCATTAGTTTTATGATAAATATGTTAAGGAGGTGTTTGACTGCAGGCAGGATTTAGCGTTTTTAAATCTACTCCCTTGTTGAATTTATTAGATAAGGATAAAGATTTAACTTGGATCAAAGTTAAAATTCAGACTTTAAATTTGAAATTTCTTAAGTTCATGGAACTTGTGGGTTTGATGTTTTACTGGATTTGTTAAATCTAACGTGTTAGATATGACTCATATAAAAGATAAGACATAAATGCTAGAGCAGAACTGGCAAAGCGGAGCGGAGCTCACGAGCGGAGTGGGGCGGTTCAGGGGTATTTTTATAATTTCATTAAGATTTTTTTTTATAAATAATATTTTTAATCCCATGGAAATTGGATTTTTTTTTCTGAAAGAGTGAAATAGCCGCGCTGCTCCCAAAGATGTAGGCACCAATTGTCCAACCTCATAAATTTTCCCGTGTTCTTGATTTTCGTTTTCTTTTTTCTTGGATTTTCACTTTCACAACGAATAAATCCTGTTAACAGGGCTTGGTGCTGAGATGGTTGTATTATTTCACAGGTTACAAGATTCAGGTGTGGAGGTTTCTCAATCGGATTTGTGGTGAATCACAGTATACTTGATGGCAGATCAGCCGCAGACATGCTTTCAAGCCTAGCTTCAATCTGCAGAAATGGAGGCCAGCAGAGTACTTATGAGCTCAGCACAGATAGATCATGCATGAGGGCAAGAAGCCCACCACAAATTAAGTTTAAGCACACAGAGTACAGAAAACCATCAGAATCTTCTTCCACCTCCTTCACCTCACCATCTGTTTCATCACCACCAAATCAGTTCTCCAAAAACTCAAACTTTAGCCTATTCTCATTCAGTCCAGAGATGATCAACAGTCTTAAAACCAAATCTGAAATGAAATGCTCCAGTTTTGAAGCAATGGTGGCTCATTTATGGAGAGCTAGAACAAAAGCAGTCTTCACAGACCCAACAGAACTGTCTTCAGTACTGTTTGCTGTGGACATAAGATCAAAAATGAATCCACCATTGCCGCATGGATTTATCGGAAATGCAGTCATAACTGCATCTGCAAGCGCTGAGGTGGAAGAATTGGGAAAGAAAAAGTTCTCCTTTGCGGTGGGGTTGGTGAGGGAGGCCATTGACAGGGTGAATGATGAGTATGTGAGGTCTGTTATAGACTGGCTTGAAGTTTTCAAGGGTGTTCCATGTGCACTGGATGGGAACTTCTTTGTTTCTGCATGGTGGAAGCTTTCGTTTCATGAGCTGGATTTTGGGTTTGGGAAGCCTGTCTATGGAGGGCCGGTGATGATGGGTGGAATGGAGGAGTTTGTTCTGCTGCTGTCTGGTGCTGGTGGTGGAGGGGAGGAGAGGGGAGGTGGGATTAATGTGTGGATAGCTTTGGATGAAGAGAAGATGGAGAAGTTTAGCTCTTATGTTTTTGAGATTTAATGGAGAAGAATTAGTTGGAGATCTATCACCATGTGGGTGAAGCAGGGAAGCTTACTGCGATCATGTAGTAGTTTGGAGGATGGATGATTATATGTGTAGAAGATAAATGACAATAGTAGAAATGTTTATTTATAAGATTATTTGTCCAATGTTTTCAGAAAAGGAATAGGAGTTTATGCTTGCACAATTCAGTACAACCATGTTGCACACTCTATCTCTCCGCATTCTCCTATAATTATTTGTTGTCTTACGTTTGGACTCCAATTAAAATTTGGTGCATGCCATTGCTTAAAAAGCGGATAAGCCTGAAGCTCAACCTGATCATGGTGCACAACATGGTCGTACTAGAGGTTTTTCATTAGTACAATTATGTTGTAGTAAGGAAAAAAACATCTAATTAAACAATTCGATGGAAAAGATATTGTGTACAACATGGTTGCATTGAAGAAAAGCCACGAGTACAACCATGTTGTATACAATAATCAATAAGGATCGAGTTTTTCAACTAAGTTATGGTGTACAACATGGTTGTAGTGTACTAAGTATGAAAATATCCAAATGTATAATTCAATGTGAAAGTCATAGTGCACAACATGATTATACTCAAGAAAACATTCACTACAATCATATTGTACACAATTATCAATACAGGTCAAATTTCTCTATTTTTTAGACAATATAATAATTATTATATATTTGATACACGTCAAATTTTAATTAGAATCCAGGCGTAACTCTACGTCTAAACTCTGGGCCTAATATTTTCTCCAAATTGTGATTCCCATAACATCCATCTCCACTCGCCAACAACCTAAATTATAAAGAATAAATGAAATAGTTATTTTAGTAAAAAGGACATGAAAAAACCAAATGGGATCCAAAATGCAATTAAGACTTGCGTTTTACATAAAACTCTCACAAACAAGAAAGATTTACATACCAAAACATATATTACTTTAAAATTTGAATCAAAATATGAGTCAAATCACTCCCCAACAACAAATAAATCCATATAAACAATAATAAATATCAACTGCACAACTCAAATCAAACAAGCACTCCATATAATTCATCAATCCCTACTTCCCATACCCCCACAAATCCATCTCACCCCCACGCTGCTGACCCATTTCATTCATCTGCTGCACTCCCGCAGAACCTCCAGCTCCGACGCCGGCGCCGGCCAGCCC